AGAGAGAGAGAGAGAGAGAGAGAGAGAGAGAGAGAGAGAAATGGAAAAATTCAAGCAATAGTCTATTAGTTCTCTACCAAAAGGTCAGTGGCTTTGGAGGATCAGATCACATGTCTTGTGATGTGGAGAGAGAGAGAGAGAGAGAGACTGATATTTGTGATTTTGACTGAGACCTGACCTGACAGCAGGTGCACATGAGGTGCACATCTGATTTATGCGAACAAATTATTTCTAAAAACTTATATAAATTGTGATCTCTTTGGCACAGAATTCCTCCCACACTATCACTGCCTGCAAGTGCTTCACAACAAGAAAAACACACTCAACAGTCAAGACATGTATTTGACTGCAAATATAATATATGGAAAGCAAATAGTTTATTACAGATTATACCAATGCCTTGACCTCACAAACCACACACACATACACACACTCGCGTACACCACAAGCACTTCCAACCAGTGGTCCCGCTGTGCCCAACCTTTGCGAAGGACACTAACTGTTATGAAATTCAATTTCTGCTAAACAACTCTAAATTATATACCACTTCACAATACAATAAATAACTACATCTAATCAAATGCCTGTGTATTCCTCTGGTGCTCTACAGAGCACTAAATAATTGACTTTTGAAAAGTTTTTCGTAATTTTCTTTGACTATTAATTATCTCTCACAATATCTATTTGGGATAAAATATGAAAACTATTGTTGACTTTATGTACCATATATTAGGAGTTGGCGTTTAGGGTGAGGTCTGGCGAGAGAACTCTGGGCCCGACGTATAGCACGAGTGACTTAGTTTTCAAACAGTTTTAGTTTTGCAAAGAGATGTAATGTTTGCGTTCCCGTTGTGTCGAAATAGCTAACTGTTCCCAAAGCAATACCTTTATATCGGGCGCCCATTATATTAGCGGCACATATATATTGGACACACAATAGCCTCCCGAAAACACTTACGCTTTTATGGAGATTTGTATTAAAAATCAAAGTCGACATCACTTTCTCAGAGAAATGATTTCCTCTTTAAAACAGTTTTAGGCCGAAAACGAAGCGTTGAGTGAAAAATTTCATTGAGTTTATCGGGTCTTGAGATGCGATGCGTGGGAAATGACGTGTAGTTTGGATGACAGGATGTAATGCATTATATAAGAGGGGACTTTATTATTAAAAAGGGAAAGCAGTCCAAGAAATTGTGATAAGTATTGATATTACAACATCTGGTCCGTCGACCAAATGACCCACCTATGGGTACCACTGCCTACCTATGCTCTCAAACTATCAAAAACTGTTTATATAATATAATACACGAGCGATAGATCGGCGAAAGCCTTACGAAATCGGAAGCTGTGGCGGAGGGTCTCTACCGGAAAGCGTGAGAAAACGGGGCTTTATTTATAATATAAAACTTTTACTTATTATATATAACATTAAACATTGGGAGGAGAGAGAGAGAGCGAGCGAGAGAGACGACAGCCCACACCCAAAGTGGAGAAAGTTTTTGCGTTCAAATAGAGAACAGTAGGAAAAGTAGCCGTTTTTCTATTGTCATCGCAAACACACAGGTATTGAATGCGACAGAAATGCCAGTGAATAGACTCCGAGAGCCCAACAGCACCTTAACGGTAATGCGGAGCTACTGTTCCAACACCAGAGCACCAGTACTTCAATTACTGGTGCACTCGAGATCACTGTAATGGGGGGAGAGAGAGAGAGAGAGAGAGAGAGAGAAGATAATACAAACACTACATTTCTGTAGAGCGATAGTGCGGTTCCCACGCATTCCTTATTAAAACTTATAGCCTCTCAGTTACAGGTGAGGTAATGGGTCTGTTGTACTGTCGTTCAGTTGCACTGCCACTGCCGGTGCTCTACAACAACCCCAACGATTCAAATAGCGTTTGGGATTCAGATTTCCATTCAAAATCTCGTGTATGTTATGCTTATGTAATGCCATTCAAATGCTATCATTTCTAATCCCCGTAAATGAGATCGAGTTTTTTAGAGCGCATACAATAAAACTTCACAATTTTTGCCTATTTTTACCGTTTTCTCTGCCCTTTCGATAACCCATTCATTTAAATCCTAGAAACTATTTATAATATATTTGTTGTGTAATATTATTATAACATTTGATATTTTAATGCAGAGAAATAAAAATGCCCTGATATTGAAAATATGAATCCCGTTTTTGTTATAAAACTGATTTAATATTAAAGTTTGAACTTTATTACTATCCTTACGGGAAAACTGAATCTATTTTTAAAAATTTTGCTAAAAATAATTTCCTAATAAAAGAAGAATATAATATAAAATAATATTCTTATAAATAATTCAATAAAACCATAAATACATATCAGGGAAGAGAGACATTAAATAAAAGGCACTTTAATTATACAAAGCAATGGATTTTAAATTCAATTTTATATGCGATGAGAGAGAAAAACTTGAATTTTATACAACTTTTTTTGAGCACATCTCAAAAACCGTGACCAATAGTCTCAACAATTATCACATTTTGGTTTAATTAAAAAATAAAATAATAAAATAAAATTTCTTAATTAAATAAAACAATTTTTAATAGCAATAAATCACAGAAATTGAAACACAATTCAATCAATTAATCATAAATTAATATCAAATTAATTTCAGTCAAGTTTTTTAGAACTTCAAAGTTTGTGATCGCGTTATAGCGAGTGATGACATCTGTGTTCACACAATCCATACAAGCCTTCAATTCATATGTTATTTACAAACAAAACACATCCAAACGACTCGCGCGGACACAAGACATCACACAAAATGGGATCAAATGAGCCGAAGTTGGAGTGGATGTACAAAGGAGTGAGAGGTCTGGTCGACAACGAAGAGTATCTGACGGGACGTAAGATTGACAAGACTTTTGAGATAATATCGGCCGAAGAGAACCCACAACTGAAGGGAGACTTAGAGGGCTTCGAGTCATTGGTTCCGCAATCGCTGTTTGACTCACTGCCCAACGCTTCCAATCCCTCCACTGTTACCATCGATTTGGCCGCGAAGTTACGCGAAGACCCGTTGTATGAGATTCGGGTCAAACAACGCGAAGAGCGGCGCAAACTGTTAGACAATCCCATGAAACTCAAGAAATTGAAGACTCTTTTGCAGACAACTCTTTCCGATGACAAACACCACAACAAGAGTAAGAAAAGACATCAACGAAGAGATAGTAGTAGTAGTAGTAGTAGTGGTGACAGCAGTTCCGACAGCAGTAGTAGTGATGACTCAAACGATCGCAAAAAGCGTCGACGAGATAACGAACGAAGAAGTGATAGTAGAAGTGGTCGTCAGTCGTCACACCATTCTTCACATCATTCCTCATCCGGTCGTCACTCAAAAAATTATGATTCAAAACGAGACAAAGACTACAAGAATAGAGATAATCACCGAAGAGATGATTCCCATCGCAAGAAATACGAAGAAAAGCCTCATTCAAAGGACCGGAGGGACGATCGACGACCGCCTCAGACATCATCCAAACCAATCTCTAACGATAGACACCGAAACACTTCCAGCAATACATTCACTCATCCAAAGCCACCGCAGAGGACGAGACTCAGCGCCGAAGACATGGAGAGGAGACGGAAAGAGATGGAAACGAACGCCGTTTGGAGGGAAAGCCAACGCAAGACAAACGTCAAGTCATACGAAGACGAGGAACGGCACGAAAATCAAGTGAATGCGAGCGCAAAGTCCGCACAATTCATCAAACCATTGCTGAAGAGCGCCACAGAATCCGACTCTTTGGAGGACAGAATACGACAGAAGCGGTTCACCTCTCAGAGAGGCTATAACTTAATGGACAGTAATTTTGCCCGAAAATAGCGCTCTTAATAACCAATTCATAGCAAAACTTTGGGATTTTATTCAAAGTTTACGACTCATTAAAACCAATGACTTTTGCATTCATTTCTCAATTCAATCAATCATTTAATTTAATTCAATAAAAAGTATTTTTATTAATTATTTTCAATCGACTCATTCGGCGATCACGACGTGTGTCTTCTCGGAGACATAGATTCCGTCCAAAAACTTTCGGATGTCTTTGTTCTTAACGAGTGTCGACTGATGGATGAGTGCCGCCGATCGGGACACCCCCTCGATGTCTACAAAACACATCCAAACGACTCGCGCGGACACAAGACATCACACAAAATGGGATCAAATGAGCCGAAGTTGGAGTGGATGTACAAAGGAGTGAGAGGTCTGGTCGACAACGAAGAGTATCTGACGGGACGTAAGATTGACAAGACTTTTGAGATAATATCGGCCGAAGAGAATCCACAACTGAAGGGAGACTTAGAGGGCTTCGAGTCATTGGTTCCGCAATCGCTGTTTGACTCACTGCCCAACGCTTCCAACCCCTCCACTGTTACCATCGATTTGGCCGCGAAGTTACGCGAAGACCCGTTGTATGAGATTCGGGTGAAACAACGCGAAGAGCGGCGCAAACTGTTAGACAATCCCATGAAACTCAAGAAATTGAAGACTCTTTTGCAGACAACTCTTTCCGATGACAAACACCACAACAAGAGTAAGAAAAGACACAAACGAAGAGGTAGTAGTAGTAGTAGTGGTGACAGCAGTTCCGACAGCAGTAGCAGTAGTAGTGATGACTCAAACGATCGCAAAAAGCGTCGACGAGATAATGAACGAAGAAGTGATAGTAGAAGTGGTCGCCAGTCTTCACACCATTCTTCACATCATTCCTCATCCGGTCGTCACTCAAAAAATTATGATTCAAAACGAGACAAAGACTACAAGAATAGAGATAATGACCGAAGAGATGATTCCCATCGCAAGAAATACGAAGAAAAGCCGCATTCAAAGGATCGGAGAGACGATCGACGACCGCCTCAGACGTCATCCAAACCAATCTCTAACGACAGACACCGAAACACTTCCAGCAATACATTCACTCATCCAAAGCCACCGCAGAGGACGAGACTCAGCGCCGAAGACATGGAGAGAAGACGGAAAGAGATGGAAACGAACGCCGTTTGGAGGGAAAGCCAACGCAAGACAAACGTCAAGTCATACGAAGACGAGGAACGGCACGAAAATCAAGTGAATGCGAGCGCAAAGTCCGCGCAATTCATCAAACCATTGCTGAAGAGCGCCACCGAATCCGACTCTTTGGAGGACAGAATACGACAGAAGCGGTTCACCTCTCAGAGAGGCTATAACTCAATGGACAGTAATTTTGCCCGAAAATAGCGCTCTTAATAGCAATTCATAGCAAAACTTTGGGCTTTTATGGAAAGTTTACGACTCATTAAAACAAATGACTTTTGCATTCATTTCTCAATTCAATCAATCATTTAATTTAATTCAATAAAAAGTATTTTTATTAATTATTTTCAATCGACTTATTCGGCGATCACGACGTGTGTCTTCTCGGAGACATAGATTCCGTCCAAAAACTTTCGGATGTCTTTGTTCTTAACGAGTGTCGACTGATGGATGAGTGCCGCCGATCGGGACACCCCCTCGATGTCTATTCGGCGATCACGACGTGTGTCTTCTCGGAGACATAGATTCCGTCCAAAAACTTTCGGATGTCTTTGTTCTTAACGAGTGTCGACTGATGGATGAGTGCCGCCGATCGGGACACCCCCTCGATGTCGTTGCCCTCCAGTATCAGCTCGTCTTTCTGGGCGGTGCTGTTCACACACGTCACTCCCGGATGCATTTCCACGCGGCGGACGTACTTCTCGCCCAAGAAGTTGCGGATCTCCACAACAGTTCCCGCCTGACTCGTGGTCACGTTGATGGGGAAGTGGGCGTAAACCGTACGCATCTTATACTGGTATCCTTTGGTGACGCCGACGATCATGTTCTCGATGTGGGAACAGATGGTGCGAACGGTGGCCAACTCTTTGCGATTGCCGAACCACTTCTGGACGCGCAGCCGTCGTTTGCCAATCATTTCCATATCGAGTTGTGCCTGAAATTTGCGGACCAACTGACCGCGAGGTCCCTTCACTCGCACCGTCCGGTTCTTCACCGATACCTTAACTGTAAGCGAAATGTAAAGACAATTAGTGTTTGAAACACACAAATGGTTTCATCGCCGGCACACAACTCGTGAGGCCGGAGACCCGTCACTCACTTCCTTCGGGAATCTTCACCACTTGATTGGCCAAAATTGTCTTCATTTTGGTCGGTCTTTGTCGACAATTATCTGCAAACAAATCAATCACACAATTAATACACTGTGTTTTGACACGTGTTTCACGCGCTTAAAGGCCGCCAAAGAGTTTGCACACATTTTGCGGCCAAAACTGGTGTTAATTAACGAAAAGCTAATAAAACTATTAATAAATCCGCCGATAATTGCCTCAAATATAGCGTTAATTATAATTAAAAGTGAATTAAAACAAAATATAATCAAAATTTTCATACCTTTTGATGTTGTGGGAACAGATGGTGCGAACGGTGGCCAACTCTTTGCGATTGCCGAACCACTTCTGGACGCGCAGCCGTCGTTTGCCAATCATTTCCATATCGAGTTGTGCCTGAAATTTGCGGACCAACTGACCTCGAGGTCCCTTCACTCGCACCGTCCGGTTCTTCACCGATACCTTAACTGTAAGCGAAATGTAAAGACAATTAGTGTTTGATTGAAACACACAAATGGTTTCATTGCCGGCACACAACTCGTGAGGCCGGAGACCCGTTACTCACTTCCTTCGGGAATCTTCACCACTTGATTGGCCAAAATTGTCTTCATTTTGGTCGGTCTTTGTCGACAATTATCTGCAATAAATCAATCACACAATTAATACAGTGTTTTGACACGTGTTTCACGCGATTAAAGGCCGCCAAAGAGTTTGCACACATTTTGCGGCCAAAACTCGTGTTAATTAACGAAAAGCTAATAAAACTATTAATAAATCCGCCGATAATTGCCTCAAATATAGCGTTAATTATAATTAAAAGTGAATTAAAACAAAATATAATCAAAATTTTCATACCTTTTGATGAATGTCTTGAGAAGAAGAGGAAATGAAAGGTTGAGCTCACGTGACAGTAATGGCCGGCGATGTTATCGCACAGTAATTACGGCTCAACACGTGTTTCGGGGGTTTTGTGGGAAAGTTATGACAATTATTGTATAGCACTGTAGAAAAGGGGCCATAAATTGGTGGACATTATTGACTGCATTGCTATTGAAAGCATTGAATGGCAAACCAGTGCTGACCTCTACCCACACGAGACGTGCGTAAAGTTTTGGCGTGAAATCACATGTGAATATTGTTTTGACAATAATTTTCAAATCAATTGCAATTGTAATCACGTTTTAATTGTCACTTCAATCGCAAATCTTGACCAATAAAATGGCTGCACAACTGATGAACTTCGTCGGGAAGTTGGGAGTGGGTCTGGCCATCGGGGCGTCGGTCATAAACACCGCTCTCTATAACGGTATGAAATGATGAAATGCATTGTCTGTTTGCGTGTGATTTGACTCATTTTGTGTGTTTTGTTTTATGGTTGGCCTGTAGTGGACGGCGGTTCCCGTGCCGTCATCTTTGACCGATTCACGGGTGTAAAGCCAACAGTGATGGGAGAGGGCACTCACTTTCTCATACCGTGGGTCCAGAGGGCCATCATTTACGATATCCGTTCCCGACCTCGCAATGTGCCCGTCATTACCGGCAGTAAAGGTATGTCAAACCCGATGCCAATCCGTGTGCGGCGCTCGTGTTGTTAAGCGAATGGACATTAATGGTTGATATTATCTGCACACAGATCTACAGAACGTTCAAATAACTCTTAGGATACTCTTCCGTCCCATTCCTAAAGAGTTGCCCAAACTTTACATGAGTTTGGGTGAGGATTACGACGAAAGAGTGTTGCCGTCGATCACCAACGAAGTGCTGAAAGCCGTTGTGGTCTGTATTTCTTATATTTTTGTGACTGATTTATGCAATAATAGTGTGGTATGTCTTACGCTATGGTCTAATGTATTGTAGGCTCAGTTCGATGCGGGAGAACTCATTACCCAACGAGAGATTGTCTCACAGAGAGTGTCCGAAGAGTTGACAGAACGGGCCAATCAGTTCGGTCTCATTTTGGATGATATATCTCTGGTATGTCTCGCATTGATAATGGCTTTTATTGATCCGATTATTAATTAATGGTTTATTAATTTTTTATGTCATATTTTGTCGTATAATTTAAAATTCATTAAAACGACTCCAAAGTCACGCAATCTGTGTTTTAGTCAACTCTTACAACACTAACACTGATATAGTAATTGAAATGAGAAATGATTTTTCCTATGCGTTTGATGTCTAAAAATAATCACTTAATTTACAATATAATGGATTTCCTATAAAACCAGCGCTCAATTTAGGCACAGATTTTATTAAACAGTGTGTGTATTGTGTGTTGTATGCGATTATTAGAGACACAAATCGATTAGAGGTTTGATCGCAAAACTATAGCATAGATATCACGAAAGCATTTATATTTATTGATTCAAAACATATATTTAATAAGTTATTGGTCTCTAAAGGTTAGCAGTTTAGTGAACAGAGACTTATTGTGAGTGACAGTCACTGACCTGACTCTTCTCTAGACATAACTTAATGAAGTGATTACTGTTATGACTGTATTGAGAGAGTGAAAGGCTGAACGTATCGATTGATTTTGCAATACAATTGTTTTTGCTTTCCTTTTTTCAGACACATCTAACTTTTGGCAAAGAGTTTACGGCAGCGGTTGAGTTGAAACAAGTGGCCCAACAGGAGGCAGAGAGGGCTCGCTTTCTGGTGGAGAAAGCGGAACAACACAAGAAGGCGTCGATCATCACAGCGGAGGGCGACTCCCAGGCCGCCAGCCTTCTGGCCAAGGCTTTCGAATCGGGCGAGGCTTTAGTCGAGTTGAGGCGTTTGGAAGCGGCCGAAGACATCGCTTTACAACTCTCGCGTTCCCGGAATGTAGTGTATTTGCCGGCGGGACAAAACACCTTGCTTAGTTTGCCTCAAATGTAGTGTGAAACTCAAGTTTCTCTTAAATCTTTTTTATTATGTCTAATGTATTAGAAATTTATTCAAATTTATTGGTTAATAAATATTCAGTCAATTCCTCAGCGCTTTTGTTAAGTTGTTTTAGAGAGAGAGAGAGTATGAATAGAGGGTTGGATTGAATGATAGGGAGCGACACTTTGAGCACTGAATGCCATAGAGTTTATGCATTGGTTTGCTTACGATTGAGGCCAACGCTATCCGAAAGCCAAAAGTGATTGCAAAACATGACATACAAAACGCTATACACAACTGGTATTGTCATGAATAACGTGGAAGTGTTTGAATGCCCCACACATTGGCCACCAATAGTTAGGTCGAAAGCACAGGCATTACGTAATTGAATGGTTGAGTGAAAGGCAATGCATTTGATATAAACGGCTTGTGTTTGGTGTGACACAAATGGTTGGTCTCTCTAAAGCACTCACTCTCACAGTGTGTGTATGTATTGAGTGGTCGTATGTGTTATGAATGGCTGCGAGAAAATGATAGCCAAATGTTTTTCAATTATTTTGTGTCTTCAGTACACTATTTGAGTGATTGGTGTCTCGAAATCAAATACATTACTCTTTTAGTGAACTATTCAAGTGTTATATAAACGCATTGAAAGGCAATAACATTGCAAACAATAGCACACACTTTGAGGCCAACCCATCTATATATCAATCGCCAACTTCTTGTGGTGTGTTGTGTTTACCATTGAGTTGTATGGTGTGTCTGATCCGTGAGCTCACGAGTATGCGTTCACACCATCTGTTTGTCTGGTGACAAGAGTGAGAGACAACTAGTGGTCTGATTGTTGTTGTGGTTAGCGGTGGTCGACACCCGTGTATTGGCCGCTCTCTCACACACCCGACGACACACTCTCTGCCCGTCCGGACGCCCACTTCTGACCACCGATGGACTCGCAGTCGATCATCACTCAGACCGTGAGAGATGAGGCCAAAGACTCGTCTGAAGGCATACATGATTACAGAGCGGACTCTCAGACAGATACAGGTCAGTAGTCGATGGCATACCAGTGCCCCCTCTCTCCCACTCTCTCCCACCCATACGTTATCATTCAAAATGGCTGTCGTGTGCGAAGAAGGTATGCCAAACACATCCAACGCATCCCATTGACAATCGCCAGTCAAAGCACTCAGCCATCAGTCAGTCATAGATATATTATATCAACCATTTTTTGGTGCCATTTATTGTGTTGTTTTCACTGCAAAAGTATTTGTCTCATGTTTTTGAACGTTAATCTGATTTGTGTTTGAATTTGAATTGAACAGTGATTTTGTAGTTTTAGATGTGATAATCAAATTTGATTAACATTTTTGTGTATCTCATAATACATTGCAATTTGCATTGATTTATATTATAAATAATGTATTCATTAATGAGATGTTAGTATTGGTTGATATCGAAAGATATACAGTATATGATTATAAACTCATTAATTAAATTGTCAATCATATGATGTGTTGAAAATACATTTGCCTCTTATTTACATGCATTCAATGTAATCGTGATTACAGTGTTTTGAATGCACTGTTGTTTTCTAATATACCGTACAGTAGTATAAGTTGTTATTTTTGATTTGATTACCAAATGGGAGTTCAATTAGTTTTCAATATTTATATTATCTCTTATTTTATGTGAATTACAATTGTATAGAGAAAGAGTCCGCGAATTGAATGATAAAAATCGGTGTTAAATGAGTTCAGAGGCGCTCAGAGATTAGCTTTGAATAAATATTATTAGCATTTAATAGCGATTTATAATCACAGTTAGCGTCACATAAGGTGTACATAAGGATTGGTATCAATAATAATCTCATTTAATTAAGTTTTTCGTATTTGAAAACTATTTTAGTGTTTTTGTTGCCGTGTTTTCAACGATTAATTAGTACTCAAATTGACGCTAATTTGAGTTTAAAAATAGTCGTTTAAAAGCATTTTTAAGTTCAATAAATACTTTATTTTTGATATGCATTTATTGTCAAAGGCTTTGTGTTAATTATCGTATGACATATCGTTTGAACACATATTCCTATACATGAGTTTCGGAGTGAATATAAAAATTGCATAAAATATATAAAACTTTTTTTCTAGAGATAAATAGTTGAATGTAATTCTGTTTGAATGATAAAAACCTTATTATGTTTTATCACTAATAATGTTAGGCTTTTCGGAGAAAATAGTGGTATTCAATGGTATGAGAAAACCATATGATTGTCGACATTAAAAATATGACGATAACTGTAATACGAAATGCCATAAATTGAATGCTATTTAAGCATTAAATTATTTAATGGTTTTATCTCTTAAAGTATTGACAAATTGGTTGTGAAACTAATGGATTAATAATTGTTTTATTATTATTTTTTTCGCTTACGATTTCATAGCCTTCAGGATAATCAAAAAGCCTAAACACAAGAGTATATTGAATACACTGTTGTGCTGTTTTCGGCCAAATTATAACCAAAACAACTCATTACACTCTGAAGAAAATGGACAATATTTTCCTAAGGTATGCATAACACCCGACCCCTCCCGACACCCCTATCCCCGACCCGACTATACATATACCTACTCTTCTCTATTCATTTTCAGTTCCTATATATCTCTGCAATTATTTATAACTTTTCTTTTGATGGTTAAAAATAGTGCATTTGAGAGCTATTTTTCATTTAGTTATCTTTGAATTTGAGTTTTATTTTCTGGATTTTGTGTTTATTTCAATGTAGAGCTCTTTTTAAGTTTAAAATATCACATTTTTAGCTCCAAAATGTAATTAAAAGCTAATGTTCTTTCAAAATCAATAGTCGTTTTGTTTATTTTGAGTACAATTTATATGAATTGTCTGTATTTGTCTTTTCAGTCACAGGGAAAGTATTTGTTGCCTAACCTTAAAAGTCAAGACTCGCATAAAATTTGTTTAGTTATCGATTTGGACGAGACGTTAGTCCACTCTTCATTCAAAGTGAGTACACATTAGTTTTGTTGTCAATGATTATTGCAATTGATGTTTGTTTAACTAATATTGTCTGCAATTTTGTCTCTACAGCCCATAAGTAACGCCGATTTCATAGTTCCTGTTGAGATCGACGGCACTATACATCAGGTGTATGTCCTTAAGAGGCCGTATGTCGACGAGTTCTTACAGCGTATGGGAGAGCTCTACGAATGTGTCTTATTTACGGCCAGTTTAGCTAAGGTAGTCTCTCTCTCTCTCTCTCTCTCTAAAACAACTTAACAAAAGCGCTGAGGAATTGACTGAATATTTATTAACCAATAAATTTGAATAAATTTCTAATACATTAGACATAATCTCGCAGTCGATCATCACTCAGACCGTGAGAGATGAGGCCAAAGACTCGTCTGAAGGCATACATGATTACAGAGCGGACTCTCAGACAGATACAGGTCAGTAGTCGATGGCATACCAGTGCTCTCTCTCTCTCTCTCTCTCTCGTGTTTTTACTGATTGTTTGATGTGTTTGTTGTCCAGTACGCCGATCCGGTCGCCGATCTCTTAGACAAATGGGGAGTATTCAAGAGTCGACTCTTCAGGGAGTCGTGTGTTTTTTATAGAGGAAATTATGTTAAGGTTTGTGTTTAGCAGCAGTTTCTATAAATTCTATGCCATTACTTATGAGTTAGGATTTAGTGAATGATTAATTTGTTTTTTTGCAACTTTTTTGGCTCAAACACAGGATTTGGGTCGACTCGGAAGGGATCTAAACAAAGTGGTTATTGTAGACAACTCTCCCGCCTCTTATATCTTCCATCCCGACAATGCTGTAAGTGTTGAATCACAACAAGTGTTATAACTACTGTCAACTGACACCTCCCCCCCCCTCCCCAACACTGTTCAGGTGCCGGTCGCCTCATGGTTTGACGACATGACTGACACGGAGTTAAGCGATTTGATCCCATTCTTCGAGCGGTTAAGCAATAAAGAAAATGTGTATTCAGTGTTGCGAAACGCGAACCAGAGTGCGAACCCGTCGGCGACTAACTCTCCCCCGACCAACAACTGGCAGCAACTGATGGACTCGAACAACAGGGCGCCCATCAATTTAGTGAACAATCTGTCGTCGGCGCCATCTCTGCACCAACCCATCCATCAGCTCCAGAACGGATCCACACAAACCTCTTAATAGTTATTATTGCAAACACTATATGATTGTGTTTTTACGAAATGAATATTCATTTCTTCACTTATAATAATAATAATAATAATAATAATATACTCTTTAAAACTATAGGAGAGAAGAGAAGTTTTTAGTTTTGCTGAACCGTTATTTCCTTCTCTCACCACTTTTTATCCTCTCTGTTGTGTTTGTAATAATTGTTTTCTAGAAATTTTTGGCAGTTTTTGCGATTATAGACTAAAAAGAGACTCAAGACTTAAAACAAAAGTTTTTGTGCGGAACATAAGTGTACAACAACTCAATTATCGACTCGTTTTTTTTGTACAACACATTTGCCTTTTAATTGCCGTCCATAATATCGATACAGAACTGAACACTGAATGAACCAAAACAGTTGTTTTGACACTTTTTAACACAAGTTTTTTGTATTACGAAAGAAAATAATAATTAATAATTCGCAGCTATTATTCTATGGCTAATTGAAAATGTGATTATTGTTTAAAAAGTTTTTTCGTTTCTTATTATTTTGTGTGTTTTGTTTGTCGTTTTCATATCGACTCCTTAATTGTGAATTGTATGCCAACACCCGATGGCCATCACATCTCTATCGCTCCGGCAATTGAAGACACCCTATCATTGGCCGCCAATTTGATTGCTCTGGTCGTCAATTCTTCATCGACTCGCGAGGACACGGATTCGCGGAATCATTAAATGATGTGTGAATTGAAGACAACGATTGTTTGAATGACAAACTTATTTGATATTAGAAATGCAATCATACCATACACTCGAAACTCTTCCCCTCTTTTGGTTACACATATTGTTTGATATATTACTAAAAGACATCAAAAAATGAGTTATTTTGAGCCAAAAAAATCATCGAATTTTATCGAATTTACTCCAGAAATGGTTATTGAGACTAAAGTGAGAGTATTTTATATTTTTGATAACAAATGAGTTTTTAAAATCGCATTCATTGACAAATTGTTAAACAAATGGTCACAACTATAATGTATAAAGAGTTGATTGAGACATAAAACGCAACCACTTTTTATTATGAGATCGATTTGTTTGTAAATATGCCGTTAATCAGAGAAAAATGTTATTTTTATGAGAATTGAATAAATTGTATTGTAATGAATGGATGAATGAATGAAATCACTGTTTAAGTAATATTGATGCGAAATATGCGGTAGTTTTTCGTTGATTTTTGTAATAATCTAATAGTTATCCCAAACTCTTTCGTCAATCAATCTCTCATTCTCTAGGGTTTAGTGCCATAAGAAGTAGTATTATATGATTGCAGAATCCATTCAATACACACAACCATCTAATTGTTAATTTAGTTATCATTCATATGTAAACCCCATATATTATATAAGAGTACATGAATTGAGAGCGCATACCATATTTCCAGTGCAATACCCGATGCAATAATCTCTATTTGAAATCCCAATAGAAATATTAGTACATTTGATAGTTTTTATTGTATTTTATAGATCTTTATATATATTTTTGGCGCAACAAAAAAGCAAAAAAAGGTACAATTTTTTCTTATTGAAAATTTCGTATTTTTATTCAACACTCAATTTTATATAATTTAAAGAGTATTTTAGATATATTTAATGCTATAATATTTAGAGATAACAAACAAATATATATATATTATAATAATATAATAGAGAAATTGTGTTTTTACGGCAAACGTGTATTTTGTGCATCAGTATTACGGAATCGACTTAATTGTAAATAATATTTTTCTGTTAATTTTGTTTTTTTCTTTTTTTGGTAAATATGTTAACGAGTGTTAGATATTGAGAGGAAGAGAATTGTATTTCCCATTTGATTATCGGTTTTGATAGTGAAATATACATATTGTTACGAAAGGGAACCAAATTGTGGTTTATATAGACATACAGTGTATGTCTTTGAAGACAGGGATGCGAACCAGAGATATGTCTAAAATTATGGTTAGACTTGTTATGCATGTATTTGTTGTTGAATGTTATGATGAATTGAGTGACAGTTTTGGCACACATTTTAGTTTTTCAATTCTCATTTCACTGGAGACTTATTAAATGAAAACAAAAAATATAAATATAAACAACATTTTTATTTTAGTGTCTTTTTTAAAATTAATACCAATACTTGTAATGTGTATTATATTATAAATATTATTATTGTATAAGAAAACAACAGACAAAAAAATTATAAACAAATTGTTGCCTTAATATCGATACTAATTAATATTATGATATCATAACTATTATTAACTCCCTATTTGTAATATCATTTGATTTGTAATTATAATTATTTTCTCTCTCTCTCCGCCCTTTTTTTCTCTATTTGTTGCCTATTTTTCGATAAGATTTATAGTAGAAGTGAGAAAAATTGTTATGAAATTTTACTCATTTGTTTTAGGAAAACATTTTTATTACGTGAAAAATTATTATTTTGAGCTTTTGATCGATCTATTGATCCATATTTAGTCGATTTTTAAATTACAATTAATTAACAAAACCTATTGTTTCAATAGATTTTAAACGCCAACCCTTTTTAAAATGTTATCAAATCCAACACTTAATCTCCTTTTTTATATTTTATTATTTTTTATTAATTAATTTTAATTAAATACTAAAAACACTCCTAAATCTGTACTTCAATGATAAGAACTATTATATAAATATATAAAAGTGGAGACAAAAAATGTGTTAAACAAAAACATTTGTGCCTTTAATCCATTCAAACGCTATTTAAAAAATGACTTAAAAATTTATAGACTGTGTATGAGTTGAGCACATATTAATACGATTGCTATATATCTGTATACAGTATATGATAATATATATTATAATTTTAGGCATTTGTAAAATATTTCCAAAAATAAAAAAAAATAATTACATGGTAAATATACACTTCATTATATACAGCACTTGTATTTGATTATATGAGTTGTTTTAGATTTTATTAATTAACTGAAAGTGTTTTGCGTGTTGTTGTCGTGCGTATGGTTTGGTTCGCTGATTAAGACCTTAAGGCGAGGAAAAGAGAGTGGATTTTCTAACTGTAAGTATTGTATGAAATGCTGTCTAACATGAGTGAAGGCGAGGAAAAGGTTTGTTCGCACACATCACTGGATTCGCGATGAAACTAACAGGTATTGCACTCGTAATTACATTTGACATGTAATACAACCGCAAACCTAACCAATCATTTGGATCCCCTTTTTATACCAAGAATTTCAGTCAAACAATGTGTAGGAAAAGTGAATTTTATTGAAAAATATGTAAATTCTATCGCATTATATCACAGTATTTTCAACAACAAAAAATAATAATTTCATTACATTTAATGAGATTATTTCGCTAAATAAACTCAACCCTTCGATACATATTTGCCAATAGTTTACATAACTTTCCAAAACCTGTATTTCAGAGATAAGAGCACACAAAATGAAAGTCTCAATAAAAAACAGATATAATATCATAAAAATTATTTGATACAAACACTCGTTGATGTGATAGAAAACAAATGCATTTCGACATAAATACTACAACAAGAAAAATAACTACTTCTCGTTTCACATGAATTTGTAACGAGAAAAAAATAAATTACATTTGATTTGCCATTTAAGGCGAGAATAAAAACACAATTTTAATGATTATTGTTGTTTGCAATGAAGTCCGACAGCGAATTCCGTCTGACGTTTGTGTCGATTCTTCGTTTGATTTCAATCCTCTCCCGTTGTCTCACTTCTCGCGTTTCCCACAATCGTCTCAGTCTTAGCACATAATACAAGAGGAATATTAGGACCAGGAATACGATGACCGTAATGGCTATGTTAGCCCAATACAGGATATTTGTGTCCAATTCTTCGCAATTAAACATAAATGATTTGCACATCACGTTTGGCAGTAGGAAAGCGAGTATCAGATTCACCACACATACTATGGTCAACACGATTAGTACGATTAGCCATCGTTTGTGACTCTCCATCCTTTTTATTCAATCAGATGAACATATTCTCAATTCAATTATTCAATTCTGATTTTGTCTCTTCTTTTTTGCCTTCAGCCAAATCCTCGCCTCTCGTCTAACAATCAATATATTTCTCTCATTTCACGCCAAATACCAAACATTGAAATAAAAAATTTTATATTGAAATTATACATACGATATATAAAAAGCAATTTCTCTGAGTATGTGTTCGCGTTGGAGACACAAAACGAGATAATTTCTATAGCGGTTATCAAATATCGTATTGTGTTTTGAAAAACATGAAATTGTTTGCGATTTTCACACTAAACAATACGATTACTGCAACGGATAAAAATTGCTGCCAATTATCGGGGCGTTTAATATTAAAAGTGCCACAACTGTTAGGTAGACATAGGTGTTGGTGGGGGTGCTGTGGGTGTGATCAACATAAACCCCTGATGGCCAGCGTGTAAGCCGTTGTTCGCTGCCATAGCATAAAAGGCCGGGTTATTAGCCGGCGTTATGCCAGTGGTGTTGTTGTAAGCATTTTGAAAATTCTCGAAATTATTATTAGTTTGATTGGAGTTAGGGTTGGTTTGGGTCGGCATTTGAAATCCAAACGGTACGATAGATATGGGAATGTTTGTGTAGCCGGGGTTATGGTTGGGCCGCTCCAACACTTTTACCTTCTTTCTGCCCCAACGGATAGCGAATACAAACACAGAGATCGCGATTGCGATGAGAAAAGTGCCAAAACATATGAGAGAAATGCCGACCGCAAAGAAACTATTGCCGTCGACTGAGGACCGGGTGACCACACCTACCAATCCGGTCACTATTAAACCAAATCCCGAGATTAATAGACATAAACTCAGATGAGATGCCGTAAAGACGCCCAAGAATTTGGTACTATTGTCGGGAAAGCTAAGTCCCGGCGCTATATATGGCTGCGGAGGGAATTGAATGAATGCCTGCGGATATGAGTTAGGAGTCGGGGCCACGGATGCCATCAATGAATTCAAAATGATATTTATTTAATAACTCATTCATTAAGTAATAAATAAATTGTTTTTAATGTGAATTTAGAGCCAATTCATCAAATATAACGGCGTTTCATAATAATGTCAAAAGTCGTTGCAATAATAGCTACCATTAACTTCCGATAACCTAATCCTTCCGTCAATAGATTAATAGAGATTGTGATCTAAATTTGTTTCCATTATATATTATAGTGAACACTGACTTAATACACGTCTAACACAAAAATGCTAATATTTCGTGAATATTCTGTTGACATTTATGTAATCTTATTTCTCAATAACACAGTATATGGATATTCATTAGGAATACCGTATAATTTATATGAAATTCTCTTCTAATACATGTATATTGAGTACAGTGTAATGAGATGTGTATTGTATTGCAAATGCAAAGTAATTATTGAAAATATATTGTGTAATAAAAATCGTTTTCTTTTTCTTTGAATACGAAAATCTATGGAAACGATGGAAACGACATTGAATTCATAAATACTTATTTCATTTACAAAACTATTATTATAAGTCAATTTGCGATCATTAATATCACTGATTATTATTACGATAATTATTTACTACTTGTATCGACTACTGTGTATCACAATTATCGATATGTTTTCTTCAACTTATTTATATCTAATGAAATATATAGAGAAATAATTAAGTTATGAATCACATGAACAGGACATCGAAAGACATTTGGAGTTTGTCTAATGCTTTTATAGATACCATAAAGTGTCAGATTATTTGAGACAAAGTATTGCATTCAATGATAGTTTAAAAAACCTAATAAAACAACAAATTTTATCAAATTTAATGAATCACACAATAAATAACAAAAACTATTCATTTTATCCATAATTAAATTGAATGAAAAACAAGAAGAGAGAAATTTTGAATTCAATTTTCACGGAAAACTCATCATAAAAACGACAACACATTACACATCCATCCGTTGACTTCGTTAGCGAAACAACAAAATTAATGCAAACAATCAGTCATTTGAAAGGAGAGAGAAATCATAGCGTTTTATTGGATTCTGTTTACAACATGTATTGTTATTATGTCTAAAAATACAATATTCTGTGCGATATTTACAGTAAACATAAAGCATTGGTAAAGAATTTCTCTTAACGTATATAAAAACATAACATTTGTTTTTCAAATAAAAAAATTAATGTCTAAACGAAAAAATGGTGTTAAATATAAATGCATTTGGCGTTAAGACAGAGAATTATTTTCAGTTATTCGGCGATATATTTATAGCGAAACACAAGGAAAACCCATACATATAACAAAAAATATCGTACAATTTATATACAGTATAATAACGATAACATTTCTCAATTCAAATTAAATAAATTTATTTTGTTTAAAAACTTTTATTTTCAGTCAAACAGTTTATTAGTTCACACAATACTTTGGACAGAAAAATATAAAACAATTTGTAATAATTAAAACGAAATGAGAGATTCAATAATTTACAATTTCAATAACTAAT